ATTTTTTTTTTTTTTTTTTTTTTTTTTAGCTGATTGAGTTGGTTTTCACTTTATAGTTTATGAGCTATATGAAAATGAAAGTTGATTAAGAAAAGATGGATTGATGTTATTTCTTGTTTTAATAATATGTCTAGCATTCTACCGGGCTTACTAAATGATATTTATCTTATCTCACTTTACTTTACTCTACTTCAGTTAGATGAATTGAGAATAACCTCATTTCCCATTTTTCTATGCTTTATTGTCATATTTTTTGATGAATCTCTTCTCGCTTTTCGTAATATTTATTCGAAATATAAACTAATCAATTAAGTGCTTCTAATCTTAACTGCTTTTTGAGTCATTTTGGTAACTTTATTCTTTTTACTTTAAATAGATTCCATTTAAATTTGTGTTTAGTACCCAAATATTATTTTTCACATTTCAACAGCTCCATCATTTATTTTAATATTTGTTAACAATTATATTATTGACATTTTCAGTGACAGGTACGCTTCACTGTACCGCAATTTAATTCAATAGCTTCTGTAATATTAATCACAATTTTAACTAACACACACATATATAAGATTATATATGAATTATTTTCTCTTTTTGTTTCACTTCATTAAATTTACACCCATCGATGAATTTTTACTTTTGCATATTTGCACTACAATTATTTGCATTTATAATCAATTTTTCGTTTTATTTATTATAATTTTTTTTTTTTTTTGACACAATTTTAATTTGCAGTTTTGCATTTTGCATTTGATCAGCATTTATTAACAGCAATTATTTATAATTGAATTTTCATTAACTTTGCATTATGAATGGCTGCTAATTTTCTTATGATTTTTATTCGTTTCCGTTTGTTGTTGCCTTTGCATTTGCAGTGCAGAAAACAAACCAAAAGCGAACAAAACTTTTTTTGCAAGCTTTGCAAACAGTTAACCGGTTCTCGCGTCTCTCGAGCTTTGTGTTGTGTGTATTTTTTTATGTTTGCTGAAACAACGAAGCCGAAACAATAAAAACAAAATCACAAATCAGACATTTGTTTAACAACAAAGCCCAAGAATCTAACTAAATGCATTCCAATACACACGCACGAGCACTCGTTCCTCTCTCTCTCTCTCACTCACACTCTCTTTCTCTTACACTCTTTCTCTCTATCGCTCTCTTTGTCACTCATGTGACGTTATCAATGCGTTGCTCTCCGGGGCCAAGTTGTTTATTAATAAGAAGAAAAGCACACACAATATCAATTTTGTTTGTGTTTTCGTTTTCGTTTTCGCATTCATTCGTTGCAGTTGTTTTAATTGCCATGTAAAAAATGTCAGTCGCACTGTTGTTAATTGCGTGAAACAAAGTGGCTCGAAAAACTGCGCGTTGCTCTCACTGCCCCCGTTGACTGCGTTGCTTTGGCTGCTGGCCTCTGCCTGCGACTGACTGTCGCGACGAGCGCCGCATTGGTGTGGGGCCCGACACACGAAGAGCTTTAGCCAACTAGAACCGAGCAGCCAGCACGAAACGAGCGAAGTCAACAAGAACGAGCGTCCAACGAGCAACGACCGCAACTTCGTGGCGACGCACGAGCACCAAAACACCAAACGACGACCAAATCCGACGACGCCAACAATGTTTTCGTGTTGTTGCTTTTGTTGCCTTTTACGCCGAGTAGCGAATTGGTCGTGGAGGCTCGGAGAGGTCGGGCGACCGACCACAGACAGACGCTGGCAATATGCAAGCGAAGCGATGTTCACTTTTGATTTCTGTGCAGCGGCAGCAGGTTTGGCATAGTATGTTAGAGCAGAGGGTCGGACGCACGGCCGAGGGACCAAGGGGCCAAGGGGGCGCAGGGGCATGCGAAGGTGGGGTCTTTAGGGAAGCCGGTTGTGCGGCTGCTGTTGCTGCTTGTTGCGCCACAAGCCCAAACGCTTTATTTTGTTTTTGTTTTTTACTTTTTTTCTGTTGGAAGTTCAATATTTAGTTTTCGAGCACGCCACGATAGGCGTCGTTGTTGCCGAGTGGGTGGAAAAGCGTAGCTGTGGAATCATGTTGTATCTTAATCATATCTGTTACCTGTTGATATGAGCGTGAGAATTGGAGTATAAGCAATCAGCAAAGGAACGGGTTCTCAATGGACGACTATCAAGTAGATCAACAGCTCCAGCCAATTCTAATTTGATCTTATCTTAAATTTTATAATCTACAGCTTGTCTGACAAAAATTGTTTTGAATTTAAATTTTTGATTAGATGATTTTGCTATTATATGCATGCAAGCTCTGTGCTTTTTTGTTGTATTCACACTTTGACTTATTTACAAATTTAGTACAATTAAATTTTAGTCTAAAGTCTGTTTGCTTTAATTTTTATTGATTTTCCCTCATTTGTATTTAATTTTCAATTTGTATACCTCCGCTCAACTTCATGATTCACTTATCATGGACACTTCAACTACCGTTAGTTATATAAACAAGACAGCTGTTTGGCTTGACTTCGCACACATTCCTTGCCCATTTGCCGGTGGTTTATCATTTTATAGAGCACCTACTGCAGCACTTCCTTAATCATGCTCTAAAAATAAAAGCCCACGCTTTTTAGTTGCAGTTTCCTTTGCCCACACGAATTCGCCTCAATAATTATGCAAAGTCAATTCAAAAGCAAACAATAACAAAAATCAAGTAAGCCCGTGAGCAAGACAGAGATCGCACAAAACACAAGCGCACACATCAACGTCTGTTATCAAACACCAACACACACATACATWCATACACACACTCGCTCAATCAGTCACCAACACAAATCACGTCATGAATACAAATTATACATACATACACACACACGCACATCAAAATAAAACGAACGTAAAGAAAAAGCAGCAAAGTCAACAACAGCAAAAACAACAACACCAGCAGCAAAATCAAAGCCAACACGTGCTTTTATTACGTTACATGAGCAATCTCCCTCTCTCTCTTTCTCACCCTGTATGTGTAATGATGTGTCTCAATGCATGTGTGTGTCGGCTTTTTGTGATGCAACGGTTCTGACAAAGAGTGTAGTACTCGCTAGGTTCGGAGAGAGAACGAGCTAGAGAGCGCACTATCTTAATATGTATGTGTGAGCAGCAGAACTTGTTTTCTAGCTTCGCTTTTGTTATTGTTGCTATAGTTTGACTTTGTGCTTCCAACTTCTCTCTGCCAGCATAGAAACCAAAACCAATGCAAAGAAATGGCCAAATGCAGGAATTAGCTCTACCAGAAACTGTCGACACTTACACGCAAATTATTTGTAGCTTTTGCGATACTTTTAACTTTTCCCCAATTTCGAATTGATTTCATACACGTTCCCAAATTAACTACGGCAAACAACGTGACTGCACCGATTGAGCAAAGAAAACGCACTGCATTAGCAAATCGAAAATTGCAAATGTAATGCCAGAGACGAGGAAAGAAAGAGTGAGCTACAAATCTCCAAGTGCTGCAGCCTGCAGTGAGTCAAGCGAGGTATGTATGTATGTACATTTTACTTTTGGTTTTTGATGCTGATTGAAAATCATTAGAATTTGATCGAAACGCAGTATATTTATTGCTTAATTACAAAAATATATTAATTTTGTAATTTTTGATCTACAGCAAAAACATAGAAAGAACCTAAAGGTGAAACAGAAACTATATTGTGCGCTCGGAATTCAAAATAAAAATGAATGAATTATCTATAGGACGTTAATTAACAGAGCCTCTCTGCTATCAGAAAGTGCTAACGTAACTGAGCACCCAGCACTGTTAAAATACTTCCATTATCGCTCAATCGTGCTCGTTGCTTTTAACAGTGGTCAGTGCCCATTCCATGCAGTTAACATGTTCATGTTAATTCTGCCTCTCAGCATACAGTCAACAAAGCAATGAGCTTTTGAAAGAGGTCGTCGCATATGTTTCGAGATCAATTAGTACTTTCGACAGCAACCCTTACGGTATTCAGTATATTTTTAGTATATATTGTTATTATACCCTGAACCCATTTTCAATGGGAAATCAGGGTATAATGGTTTTGTTTTTTAATATAAAATATAAATCGTTAGATTTCCAAGTATTTTAGGATATTTACGAATTTTTATTAAAAACTTGTATAATTGCGCTTTAGTTTGTCTAGAATACTGTTTTTAAAATTACAAACATTAACAATAAACAAAACTTAATCGTAATAGGGGAACGTCGATATACCATAAAATAAATTAACTAGCTGTAAGGCAAAACACAGACGACTACACAAACAATATTATATGTACGTTCTATGCAAGTTTATAAATGTATGTACAATTCCTTTTTCATTTGACTTGACTTGGCAACAGCAACATTTCAGGTCTAAGCGCATTTTGGTGGGTTGCATAAATAGAAATCTAACCTAAAAATGCGCATCCAGAATTTTGGTGGCAACTGTACTTACAACCAGTTTCGATAATTTCACTAAATTACGTTACGTCTTAAAGACTTTTGGCAGACTATGTCCATACAGAGGTAGGTATAAGGCCCTCCTTGCTGGTTCCGGGCGGCGTTAGCACCTCCTTGTTGAGGAACTCCAGCGGCAGATTAACTAGATGGCCCTAGAAATATATTTCAGAAAATTATCCAACTTTTTTTATAAATTTTATAAAAAATATAATCTAGTAAGACTCATGAGATCGGTTTCAAAATAATTGACCTTGGATAGATATTTTCTTCATTTGTGTGACATTTAATTTACCTTAAATTGAAAATCAAATATGAGGTTATGTAAAAAGAACAAATTGTGGGCAATTGTGTGCTCCCAGTTTAAGCGAGATTCTAAAATAATTCTAGTTCTATAATTTTCTTCCCCACGCTACTCTGTGTGGCATTTCCTGTGCCATAATTTTTCTACGTAACTGTCC